ATATTTACAATACAATATATATTATATATTGTTTTATGTCTAATATAAAAATGGTATTTAATATATAATATTTTAATAATATTTAAATAAACATCACTTTATATTTCAACAGGTTGTCAAACATAGGTACCTAAAACTTTTAACATTCCAACAAGTTATCAAACATATACACTCTTTAAATAACTTCTTTCTTCCCAGCAAAGAGGAACTTCTAATTTCCAAGGAACATTTACCTTCCAGTTATCAAACAGGCCCTAAGAGTCTAGAAGCTTGACTTCTACATTGATAAGTGAAAAAGAAAAATGATTTCATAATATTAAAATAATGACAATATAACAAAATCTCAAACAACATATATAAATATTAAAAATTCCAATATATTATTCTTATGTTCTAGCTCAAGATACAATTTATCCTACAAGTCAGGCATATTAGCCAAATAGCTCTAAAGCGCCTTTGAAACTCTCCACCTCTCTTTTCATTTTCGTGAGCCAAGTCAAGAGTGCCATTACACATTACATTGGAAGTATGAAATAACTGACTACATCCACCATAGTCTCGTCAATTGCTCTAATCCAGTGTCAGTGAAATCAGGTGAATCCACTTTGACTCGCCCGAGGCACATGGTTGCAGTACCCTGCTAAGCTTGGAAACGACCCCCCTTCCCAACTCAAGGGGGTGTTGTTGTATTAAATGCTACAGTGTCTACACAAGTTACTGTAGCAACTCAGTCAATTACCATAGACACTTGGCAACTTCTTAAAGAAATTGACTAGTCTGTGAAAACTCTCCGAGTTCAATCACTTACAGAGATACAAAGCCATGTGGAATTCAATGACCCATTTTTTCATATCTTGACATTGAAGCATCATTTTGAGCCCAAATTTATTGTTGATTCATGTTCTTGCATAACCTTATTGATTGTATATATCATTTTTAAGAAAGAAAAAATCATAAAAAATCATGTTTTACGTACTTCAGAGATCAAATGTTTCAACCTAGGATTTCACTGAAATCGTAGAAAATTGTTACCTAACTCTTCCTTGGGTTCTTCATTAAATCATGAGTTTCTTTCTCATGTGAAAACCACTATAAATCCCGGATTTTCGAGATTTCTATTTCAGATTTAGTATTCACTCAAAATTTTCAAAAGTTTGCGAGATTTCTTTTTCAGATTTAGTATTCCTGAATTTCTACAATCTGCCTGTGTTTCAGGATTTTTTCCGCCAACTCATGACAAACTTTGCATTTCAGGTCAGGACTAGCTGAGTCCACTTGAGCTTCTTCACCTTTTTTTTTGCCATTTTTCTACCTTTTTTACTGATACATCTGTATTTTGATTCGAAGGCCCATTTTTTGGAAATCAAAGGTTCCAAATTTGGGGTTTCTATTTTTTTTAGCTTGGTTCTCTCAGATTTGCGTTTCTAATCCAATAAATTATTGGGGGTTTCCGCTTTCCTTCTTGACAGTATCAATGTCGATCTACTAAAGTAGTTCTTGCAATTTTTATTCTATATGTGTATAATTTCATTATTCCTATTTTTTTTGAGAAAAAGGTGTACTTTTGTCTTTATAGAAAAATTACATAATGAGGAAACTAAAGATGGCATCCCACAATTTGGGTGCTCAAACTACATCAGATTCTGTTGGAGGGGAGATAGAGCAAAGAAAAGAAGGGTGTGAGAAAGATTGCAGCAACAGATAAGAGAGAAGAAACTAAGTTTGAGGGAAAATAAGAAAAATAGAGGACCCAAAGATAGGTGCTCAAAAAAGACTAACCACCTAGAAAAGGGAATACAAAACTGGTGCAGCGGCAAAATGAACAGAGATCTGGAAATTGAAATAGTTGATGGGAAGGCAGTTGAGAGCGACAGGAGTGTCGCTGGGCTTTGACAGATCTTCGTGTTCACCTATCTGAGGTTGTAGAGGCTCACCTTGTAGAAATGTTTGATGAAGAAGAGAGGAGGGGGGAGAAGAGAGGAGAGGAGGGAGAAGGGTTGAGGAGAAAGAGAGGCGGGGACAGAGAAGATGAACTAAGGGGAAGGAAGAAGGTGAGAAGGAAGATGGGGGTAGAGCGATCTGTAAAGAGAGTGAGATGACTGTTATAGTGTGGATGGAGATGAGGGTGAAAGGGAGAGAAGAGGAGAGGATGAAGGGAGAGAGGAAGAAGAGAAAAATAGAGAAGGGGAGAGATTGAGATGGAGAGGCTTAGAGGTAGGGGAGGTGGAAACTAAAAGATAGAGAAGGGGTTAAGAGATAATAACCCCCACTTTTTTTTCCCTTTTTTTTCTTCTTTTTTTTTTTTTCCCTTTTTTATCTCGTTCTTTTTTTAATTCCTTTTTTTGGGGGGTGGGGGGAGAGAGAGTAGTGAGGTGAAAGAAGAGCAAGATTAAGAAAGAGAAGAGCAGAAGGAGAGAGGAGAAAGAAGGTAAGAGGCTTTAGAGAGATAACAGATCAAGAGAGATAAGTGAAGAAGATGAGAGGAGAAAGAAGGGATTTCAAAGGGATAGCGGGTGCACATGTTCCATGAGAGGCTCCTTCCTCTGCCAGTCGGTCAGCTTTTGAGTTAGCTTCTCGAAGGATGTGTTTGAATACTACCCATGGGAGAGAGCTGCATAGAAAGTAGAAATGCAAAAATATTTAGTTGAGCCTCCAGGGGGGTTGCTGTTGGTGGATGGCCCATTCATTATTCCTATTTTTATCGTTAATTTTTTGAAAATAAAGACTTGTTTTTGAAAAATAATTTCAATTTGGATGAAATTAGGACTTCTAGATAGATCTAGTTGCTAACTATTGATCAGCATTGTAAATTTTTTCTTCGATTTGAGATTTCTTTTATGAAAATAGATATCTTTCCTCTGTAGATAGGAAAATATTAATTTAAATTTTAGCATTGATTTTTTTGTTGTTACAGTTTTTTTGTATCATTATTATGTTTACCCTGTTTATTCTTGATTTTTCATGAATTTGTGTATTTACTTTTTTTGGGTTTTGTTTACTTTGTATATATTAAGTTTTCTATTTTTCATTTGTACATTTTTTTCTTCGATTTGAGATTTCTTTTATGAAAATAGATATATTTCCTCTCTAAATTGAAAATATCAATATTAATTTTAGCATTGATTTTTTTCTTGTTACAATTTTTTGGTATCATTATTATGTTTACCCTGTTTATTCTTGAGTTTTCATGAATTTGTGTTTTTCTAGGAACTATTTGCTTTTTTCACATTTTGTTTACTTTGTATATATTAATTTTTGTATTTTTCATTGTGTGGTATTTTTGGTGTAATTATTTCCTTTTGGCAAAAACCTAACCATGGTCTTTTTTGTTTTGAAATTCTTAGATCCAATAAATTCATCTAGCATATGTGCCCTTTTAATGATTAAGGCTCCTAATTCTATCCAAGTGCTGACTGCTACAGTTTCTTCCCACCTTTTTGGGAGCCTTAGGGGCATTTGTTTCACCCCAAATCTGACACACACACATTCCCTTGGAATCGGCAAAGAAGATTCTGAAAAAAATTGGAAAAAAAAACCTAGAGAAGTATCTTTTGGGGAAAAAGAAAATATAGTAAATACAAT